ATATACACTAATACACCCAAAAGCCCACTGAAATCCCAAATCTAACAGGAGACTAAGAAGGATCTTGATGAACCCTATTAGAAAACCAATTAGATAGAATAGAGAGAGTTCTGTAAACACATGAGAGAGAGTCAGACTGCGTGGCTGTTTAGGTCATGTTTTATCCGGTCTGTCCATGTGGCATTGGCATCTATCCACCCTTTCAGCAGTAAAGTCTCACTTCACAGGGTCCTAGGCTTTTTTAAGCGCAAAAAACATATTTTAGCCAAACCACAGCTTACATCTCCTATTGATTCCTAGTGAATGGGACATAGGCCTAGCGTCAAACCACGTAAAATCTTTGTGTTGTTTCTGTCTTTTATATTTGCCTAAAATCCAAATTCGGGTGCTTGTTTGCAGCACTCCTTCTTAAAAGGTGTCAAGTGCTTGTACAATATTTTGTTTAACCAAGAAGTGATAACATTTCTTTCAGGAAGTAGAGGATGCTCAAAGGATTCGTAGGGCTGTAATAGATTGTTTTGAAAAAGCTGTTCTTCCTGAGTTGACTGAAGAAGAACGGAAGACTAATCTCCATTTCGTAATTGTGGGAGGGGGTCCAACTGGTATAGAATTTGCTGCAGAGCTTCATGACTTCCTACATGAAGACTTACTCAAAATATATCCTCTGGCTAAAGATTTAGTGAAAATAACGGTGATCCAATCTGGAGATCATATCTTAAACATGTAAGGATACCTTCCATACATGTTTTCACATTGCTTTGAGATACTGTTTGGTACGCAGTAAATAGAGACTGAACTGTTTAATGAGCAAGATTTTAGCTTTTTTAATTCCAAAATACTGTCCAGTTTCAATTCTCATTACAGACAATACCATGAATAGATTCTAAAGAAGAATCATGACTCTTTCAGATAGTGATAATGAAATCATTTTTTAAAATTAAATGCTTATCAAAAAGTATCATGAAATGAGAACTTCAATCTTGTACCTGTCTCTGTAGGTTTGACGAAAGAATTTGCTCGTTTGCTGAACAGAAGTTTCAACGAGATGGTATTGACGTTTTAACAGGATGCCGCGTAGTAAATGTCTCTGATAAATTGGTTAACATGAAAATCAAATCAACTGGAGAGGACGTTTCTATGCCGCATGGGATGGTGTTGTGGTCAGCTGGGGTTGGCACTCGGCCAGTTGTGAAGGACTTCATGGAGCAAATTGGTCAGGTATGCTTGATTTTGGAATTTATCTTAGGTATACTATATGTACACCTTTGGTATGCATGGATAAGATTTTGACCTTTTTCCTTAAAACAGTCAAGGCCTAAGTCTTCCCTGCCAAACATGCACATATACAGACACTGCAGTTAATTTGCTATTGCGTAGTTATAATACTTTCTAATCTTTGTCTAAGTGGATGTCTAGTTATGTTGAGCGCTGTTACATCAGCTAGTTTCATATGTGCTCTGTTGTGTATACAGGGAAATAGGTGGATTCTGGCAACTGATGAATGGTTGCGTGTAAAAGGATGTGAGGATGTATATGCCTTTGGTGATTGTGCCACTGTAGATCAACGTAAAATCATGGTATGTGAGCTAAGTTACTGAGCTTTCTATACCAGAGGGAATAGATTATTTTACCATATTTTGTGTTATTTTTCTACAATTGTTTTTTAGGAAGATATCTTGACTATATTTAAAGCTGCTGACAAGGATGATTCTGGTACCCTTACTATTGAAGAATTCCAAGATGTGGTTGAAGATATTATAATAAGATACCCTCAAGTGGAATTATATATGAAAAGCAAGCATTTTTCCAAACTGGCTGATCTGCTAAAAGATTCAGAAGGGAATGAGAGGGACGCAGTAGATATCGAAGGTTTTAAGTCAGCACTGTCCCATGTAGATTTGCAAATGAAGAGTCTTCCTGCTACTGCACAAGTATGTTTACTTGGATTCCGATGGCTCCATTTCCTTTATGGAATGTTGGGTAATGTGGATTAGATAACATTATACAGTATTAAATAAGAAAAGTAAGTTAAATTTTTGTTCATTTTACTGTTTAGTACAATCTAATACTATTTATGGAAGATGCGCTTGCTGGTTATGGAGTATATAGTGATATTTAATTTATCCTCTTTCATATCAGGTCGCTGCTCAACAAGGTGCATATCTTTCTAGGTGCTTTAACTTAAAGTTGAAACATAAACATGATCCGGAAGGCCCTCGTCGGTTTCGTGGTTCTGGTCGTCATGAATTCCGTCCTTTCCGGTATTTCTTTCTCTCTGCAAGGCTACCCAGCATACTTTTGTCTTTCATAGTTATGCATATAACTTAACTTCCTAATTGAGCTGATACAAATGGGATGTATTAATAAAATAATGGAACATGTAATGTATCTCTTTTTGTTCCTTGTGCCAAGATGGACCGTTGTTTCCTTGCTGATCAGCTGTGATGAGATTAAATTAGCAATTTTAATACTGATTGAGAAGCAAACCCACCTACAAATTAACCAAAACAATCAATTAGTGTAAGGATTTGCAAAGTAAAATGAAGAAAATCAAGACCAAAATCTGAAAATTAAGGAACGGTTTTCCCCTTTATAATTCGGCTCAGAAACTTGATCCACACCACAAAGGTATCTCCAATTTGAAGGCCATTATCAGTCACAGACAGATTCACAAAGAAAAGGCAAGGGAGGATTGGTTTGCACTAAGCAGGGGAGTTTTTTCTTCTTCTTGTTTTTGCTCTCGGTTTTGGTGTGTGAAATAGAGGAGAAAGATCTCCTATTTATAGGCTCAAAGGAGTGGACGAGTTTCCAAGGAGTCTAGCAAGATTAGATAAAAACTGCAAGATTGTATCCAAAATGAAAGATAGAGCTCATCCAACAAAAACGAGATAAAATTGGTTTGACAAAGATAACGATAATATTTATCTATCTTTCATGTGAATTTCGAATTCCCTCCAAGTCGGGTATTGAGCATCTAGCCCAATGGGTTGATTACCTCTAAATACCCAACATAATTGGGCTACTTCAATTGTGATGTGAATTTAATTCTTCAATCCTGGGCTTATAGCCTATGAAGTTAAAACGGGCCTCAGTTTTTCATCATAGCCTAGGGGATTTGGGCATCATTTACCAAACATGCCCAACACTGATCACCTGAGACGTTTACTCCTAAATAGATCTCTCTCTCTCTTTCTCTGCCCGTCTCTTATTCAAGGGATGGAAGTTTGTTTAAATATAGATTGCCGATCTTCTTTTATTTTCTATTTTATGTTTTCTTGAGATATCAAAAACCATGATCTTATGACTTACATATATATAGTTAAAAAGGATAAACCTCGTTCCAAATGAAACGTGAAGGAAGAGCTTTTTAAGTATATAATTGCCAGCTATATTGAAGGTATTCTATGGTGAATGTTTGGTTTGTTGTTAGCATTTGCATGTTGATTTATTGAAGCCTCTGCTCATCTCGAACTCTTTATTTGAAAAGTAAGAACTGATGTCTTAGGAAAAGAATTTAACAGGCCAACCTGTTATTTATATCTTACAACTGAAAATAGCCGGAAATATATTACTGATACAAATTATACCTACCTAACATGATTGGAAGACTCTTTTGCCTATTATTGCATAACAGAATGAAGTGCATGACCCTGAGCATTATGAAGCACGGTAATGACATGCATACCCACTATTAACATGTTTTGCATCGAGGAAACTGCAGTTGTCTAAAATGCACAATAAACAAGAAACTAGACGACATCGACTTCGCTTCTTTCAACTTTTAATTTCACTTCGCGGGACTTGGAGGTATCAGTGGATTTCCCTTCCCAGGCTCTGGCATTTTACCGAATTAGATGTTTTTTCACTATAAACGATCAGCTTCATTCACCTTTTACAAGCTAGGTTTTTGTCTTCCCTGTTCCGTTAGTACCAGGTGTACAGTCGTTTGAGTCGTTTATAGCATATGTATAAGTGGTTTTCAATGTTTAATTTTCTGGTACCCTATAATACATCCTGGAATCCTTTATTTTTGTAATTATTACTTTAGGTTGATTTCCGGTGCTTGACTATAAATTGGTTTCCTCATGTTAATTTCATCAACTAATAAAACTTGCTGTGAGATTGTTGTTTAGAGCAGAGGGGGTATGGAAGGACTTCGCCTGTTTCACACTATACTCAATAAATTATGGCTTCATTAGGCTGTTGAATGTAGATTGAGTTCTTGATAACCATTAGACCCATATACAATATAATGCTTTGGAACGTGTATAAATTTTGATACACCAGCTTCTCTGTTACCAGGTACAGGCATTTCGGGAAATTTGCGCCCCTTGGTGGGGAGCAAGCGGCAGCAGAACTGCCGGGAGATTGGGTTTCAATAGGCCATAGCACGCAATGGCTCTGGTATTCTGTATATGCAAGGTGAGAACTTGCTTCAATAACATTATTTTCTATTGAGCATGTAATAGTTATGTGCATTCCACTAAATCATCTGTTTTATCTTTACACTCAGCAAGCAAGTTAGCTGGCGCACGAGAGTATTAGTAGTAGGTGATTGGACGAGGAGATTCATTTTCGGGAGAGATTCAAGCCGTATCTGAGGCAAAGACGTGAATGTTCTGATGTACGTGCCATTATTCTAAAGCCCCCTTCACTGTGTATTCATCAGCAGTTTGATACGAGAAGTGCTCTTCACAGGACAAGTACTATTTATTTTGCATTGTCGTTTTGTAACATACAAGTTGAGTGAAACCACAGCAGCATCATGAACGTGTTCAAAGATTGGTGTAGGAAAGCGTTTTTGAAAACGTGAATGTTTGTAAATACCATGAAAATAAATAACAAAGAGTTGATTCGTATAAAATAATGAGAGTTTTATAAATGTTTGAGGGTCGATTTTAGTAACAAAAATTCAATCGTTCGAGTCATTTTGAAGATTCGATCATGAAGAGGGCAAGAAGAAAACTATACCAGAATGAATTTCTCACTAAGACATGAAATATTAGGAGAAGGCACAAGTATGCTTTCTCAATGTTCATTACACATAAAAACGAAAAAGCTTATTTCAATTATGATATCACATTTGAAGAAAATTAAGAACTAATGGCTCAGAGTATATTACATCAGAAGTGAAACTGCGCTGCTGTATAATATGGGAATGAGAATTTTAAGGATGATTTTTAACGTATTCTCGTTATTCCCTTTAATTTTCTTCAGTTTCATCTTCTGCAAAACTCAAGGCTTGACAGACTGATGGCTCCACTTCCTCATCATAGCAGAAATATGATTTCTTCCCAATCAATTCAACCACTCTTTTTGCAGGGCCGGAATCCCGGGGGCTCTCATTGGTGTACTGAGAAATCTTAATCCTTGGAAGCAAATCAAGAACAGCAGTAGTAGACCGTGGAGAATTCTCACCCTCCAACAAACTACTATGAACAACAAACTCACTTGGAATTTCCCATCGCTTTTTCACCCGACTTTCAATGCCTAAATTCTTGTCATCCCTGAAAGTTACACGAGGTTTCCCAGCTGATAGAGAGCGTTTCTTATCACCCCTATTCTCAGCCTTACCATTATCTGGCAAGGATCGCTTTCTCATTTCTGAGGCAGGATTTGTGCTCTGATTATACCGGCTCGCTACAACTCTACCTGTCCTTAATGGCTTAGCAGGAACAGACTTCTCGCCATCTCTGAACAATTTCTTGGGCTGAACAGAGTTCACCATTCGATCCTCTTTCTTCACAGCCTTCTTGGATCCAACTGTAGTAACAGCCTGTCTTGATAAAAGCCGAGAATTTGCCATAGTTTTTCTTGAATCAGGGCTAACACTTGAACTCTTCCCCCTTTCTTTACTCATCACTTTCCCTTCGTCAATATCTTCTAACTTCCAGAAGCAAGATTTTCGTCTACTCTGTAAAGGCTGAACAGGTGTGATCATTCCAAGTTTTTGGGATTTCCCGGATCCAAAAATCTCGGACGGCCCCATACTCATTCCCCTTCGAGCTTCAGCAACAACTTTTGCAGGTGTGACCATTTCTTGCTTGCCCAATTTCAGGGATCTCGCAGATCCATAAATCTCAGAAGGCCCCATACTCATTCCCCTTCTTGCGCCAGCAACAATTTCTGCAGGTCCTAAACTAAGCCCCTTCCTCTGAACCCCAGTTCTTGCTCTCATTGATGAAGTCTGTTCAATCTCTTTCTTCTCTTCCGCATTTTTAACACTCTGTTTAGGTTCCAAAAACTTCGCCCGGATCACTCTTCCTCTCTTTTCCATTGTTTTTACACTTCTATCAGCCTTTTCCAGTTTCAGAGCCTCTAATCTTGAAGTCAATCTTTTAATTTCCATCTCAATCTCCTCGATTTCCTCATCGAAACTCTTCAAATCCACCTTCTCTTCAAAATCCTGTTTTGAAATTCCTCTAGTTTTCAAATTCTCCGAAGCTCCATTCACATTAACCGGCTTGAAGGGTGTCACAACAGATCTGAGAGAAGAAGAAACAGAAGAAATTGGGTTCTCAAACAGAGGACCCTCATTCTCTTTGCTCGAAGAATCCGAGATGATCGACTCTGTCGAATTCAACAACATGGGCTTTATAGGACTCCATGAAGGCTTATTCCCTGAAATTTCTTTAAGATCTCCATTATCAAATGCGGCATTGTTCCATATCTGAAGATCATTAGAACTCACACCTTCTTTATATTGCAAAACACTCATCTTCCCTCTAATCAAATTCGAGAATATTCTGTTTCTTGGAGAGTTCTTGATTTGTTTTTGCAGAGTGATTATCAGATTTTATAGAGTGACGAATGTTGAGTCTGTATTCCTGAAAATGTCTAATATATTTTTGAGATTTTTGACCGTTGGGGAAAATGAATCGTTGGGATAGTTAGCTCAATCGTGGCCGTTGGTTAATAAACGGCTATTATAGACGCTCCGATATGACTTTAAAGGTTAATTTTCGTGAAATTCAGTATTTGAGTGATTAATGGCAGCTACTAGCATACGCTCCAAATCTTTGTCGTGCAATGTTTGAATGGACGGTCCCACAAAACCCGCTAGTATTGCGAATTGAGTCGGTCCGACCGATTATGATTTTACTTTTCAATTTTAATGTCAAAATTAAAAAAATGATTTTCATCTATGCATCTGCAAAATACATCATTGAATTGTTCGTAAAGTATATAAAACAATGTATAAGTAGATTGGTAATAGTTGATGTATTATTATAGTTCGATTATAATTTTTCCCACATTCACTCTTTTTGACTAATTTCTTCTGTACAAATGGCAAAATCCATATAAAAAAAGATGAATGACACAAAACCCCTTGACCTTTACATAGATTGTGGACCATCCACTAACATTTCATTTTGATGGATAACCTCTTTAAATGACATTTTTCGGTGTAGAATACAACATTTTCTTCAATTTTTTTTCAGAAGGCTTTATAAAATGATGAGTATATACTCTTATTTGAATTAAAAAAAAAAAAGAAAGAAGAAGGATATATAAAGAATCAATTACAATCGTAATCACAAATTTGGAGAGCCAAATTCACTCTTTAAAATTAAATTCATTAAAAATATTTCAATTTTCAAAGGAGGTAAGGGAAGTTGGTGAAAATAAAATATAGGAAGAATAATAAATATTTTTTAGAAATAGTAAAATTAAGTGTTAAAAATAAAAAACACATTGATGCACTTAAAAACTTTTACTCTCAATCATGTGTCTGAGAGGGCTTCTATTTTTTTTTTTTAAAACAAATAATTGATTTTTGTAAATTAGTTTATAAATTTATTCTTTTCTTTCTCTAGTGAGTCATGATAAATTTAACTAGGCCCCGTTTGGTATCTATCTTTGTAAGAATGAGAATAAAAAGTATAGTCCTTACGGAACTTACACAAGAGATAGAAAGTCAAATATGGTGACTTGATGTGATCGATAAAAAGTATATAAAAATAAAATATATGAAAAAATAATAAATATTTTTTTTAGAGTAGTAAAATTAAGCCCTCGTTTGAGCCACATTATTGTAAAAATAAGAATAAAAAATATAATTGTTATGAATCCCACACAAAAAATAAAAAGTCAAATATAGTAGGGATAACGATCATATTTTTATTTTAATGAAGAAATAATGAGGTTCAAACAATGCCTGAGTATTAAAAATAGAAAACCAGTTGAGATGTTTAAAATTTTTTACTCTTTAAGCTTGTGCTTGGGAGAGATTTCTCTATTTTTACAATTAGAGCTCGTTTGATTCTCATTTTTTTAAGAATGAATGAAAAATATAGTCGTTACAAGACCCATATAAGAGATATAAAGTCAAATATGATGGTTTGATGTAATAGATAAAAGTTATATTTTTCATTTTTGTGATCAAAGAATGAGAATTAAACAAGCCTTAATTGATTTTTGAACAGTTGAAATGGGGCCCACTTCTGGCATACTTTACCTGCCCACAACAATTGACCATTTGCCGATTTTCATTTTTGATCTCATTTCTGGGCAAGTGTAAAATCATGGAAGGACAATGGTGTCATTTTACTCTTCCACGACAATTGACAATTCAAATATTCACTAAAATGCGTCAATAGTTCGGTCATTCCACTCTTCTTTTAAGTAGACAAGTCAAAAATCAATTTATTTATTGTAGAATCTCCTAAACTTTTTTAGAGCCTGTTTGGCAGTAATTTTGAGAATTAATTTTTTAACCGTTAGAAGAAAAGTGGGGTTCACCTGTGAGAGAAGAAGTCAAATATGACGGTTAGAATAGTGAAATAACGGTCAAAAATTCAATTTTTTTATTGAAAAAATCGGGCCCAAACAAGCTCCTAGCCACGATCGTTTTATCTCTTTGCCCTCGTTTGGCCCCCAATAATTTTTATTCCATTGCATTTCATTTTTTTCTCTCATATTTTCAACCACATAATCTTTCATAAAATAATATTGTACGTAAATAAAAAAAATTTTCTTCCTTTTTAGTCACTCATTTTTCAAAAAAAACTATTCCACCCATTTTCATTTTTACAAAATGGGGGCCAAACGGAGGCTTTATCTTATTTGTCAAAAGATTTTTTTGTAGGAAGGTCTCTCAATTCCTCTACTATGCCTTTTGTTTCGAAAATTCTGGCCAATCTCTCAAAATTTTTGATAGAATTGAGATTAAAAAGATGTGGCTAAATTTATAGACTTTCTAAATTGCTAAATGTGTTCTTTAAAAATAAAGAATCTTTAAAAATGGTCTTATAAATTAGTTTATAAATTTACTCAAAGTCAAATATATTCATAATTGTTACTCATTATTATTTATATATTTCGTGAAATTACTACTGTTTCCCTTAGTATTCCTATTTATAAATTTTCCAAATAATGATCAAATAAACCGAAAACAAATCTTCCTTTCTAAACCATGAATTATTAAAACTAATTCAGAGCCTGTTTGAGTCACATTATAATGAGAATAAGAATGAGAAATAGAGTCGTTATGGGCCCTACACCAGTGATAAAAATTTAAAAATGGTGGCTTGATGTAATGGATAACAATCATATTTTTCATTTTAATGAGGTAAAAATGTGGCTCAAACAGGGGCCCAGTTTTTTCTCGGGTGAACTAATTGGTTTGAACTTCTTTAAATAGTTCTTATACACCCAACTTTTAGGTTTAATAAAACTAAAATTTAGACCGGTCCTCGGTTTTCCTGTCAAAATCATATAGAATCGTGAAGAATCCCTCCTCCTCGATGGAAACAGGAGGTACAGACGTATATTTGATTGTCAGTAATCTCATTGACTTAAAAAGTGCCATGAAGACTTGTGTGTAGTACTGTCAAGGTATGCTAACCACACACGTCCATTCATTCTAAATTGATATTATTGTTCTTGCACATTGAAACATTTGAGAATTTCAGTCTTTTGCAGATCATACGTTTATTGATTAGATTCCATGAAACACTCATAATTTTTTGCATATGCAGTCTCCCACCAATAGTATCTCAGTGTTCTTTTACTGCACAATCTTAGTGGTTTGCTTGAGTCATCAAAGTGATGCAAGAGACACCATCACCACGAGCAATCCATTAAGAGATGACGCGCGTGAAAGTCTCGTCTCAGCTAATGGAAGATTTGAACTTGGTTTCTTTACTCCTGGAGGAAACAACAGATATGTAGGAATATGGTATCACAATCTGCCACCAAGAGTTGTGTGGGTTGCAAATAGAGATAACCCAGTGCTGGATTCTTCGGGATCGTTTGCCATTGCAAAAGATGGCAACCTCAAGGTACTTTCGAATGGAAATCCTTGCGCCATAACAAAACTTGAAAATGCTGGTGTTAACAGGACTGTGAAGCTATCGAATGATGGAAACTTGATATTTTTTGATGGTCCATCTCCATCAGAGATGAAATTATGGCAAAGTTTCGACCATCCAACGGATACATTTCTTCCCGGTATGAAAATGGATGACCACATGGTTTTGACTTCCTGGTCAAACTCAACTGACCCTGCAACAGGAAATTACACATTTCAGAAAGATCAAGAATTGTACAAGATACAAAATGGATCGAACCCTTACTGGAGAAGTCGTGAGTTAGGTTTATCATCAATGATTCCGCATAAAAAGGAACTTGAAGTAGCCTTCTTGTTGTCTGGATTTGATGAAAGTACATATCAATCTTCTGTTCCTCCAAACGAAACAAAATCATTTATTAATTTTACAAGGCTTCATGATTACACTCTCTCTGGGATTTTCATGAATTCCACCGGTAAAATACAATATTATAGATTTTCCAAAGGGGGTAAGACTGGTAAGTGGACCTTTCCATGGTCTGAGCCCCATGATGCCTGCAGCGTCTACAATGCTTGCGGAAACTTCGGCATCTGTGATAGTATCAATGATCCAAGATGCCAGTGTTTGCCTGGTTTTCAAGCTGTTTCCATGGAGGATTGGAGTTATGGGGATTACTCTGGAGGTTGCCAAAGGAGGAATCCAATTAGATGCGACAACGCAGCGGACAAAATGAAGCAATCCCAGTTCTTGAAGTTTTCATTGACCAATTTCTGGGGTTCATTCCAGAAATTTTATAAGGCTCAAACAGAGGAAGAATGCGAAAAGGAGTGCCAGAACAACTGCAAATGCAATGCCTATTACACGTTAGAAGCTAATGCCACTTTGAGAGAAGGAACTGATGTTGGTCCTATGTGTTATATTGGGACGGAAGAACTTGAAGATCTCCAGTTAAAGCATGGTGGGGGTGGCTTCCAGCTCAGTATCCGCATAGCTGTTTCAGATAAGGGTAATTCTTCTTTCCCCTTCATTCTTGTTCATATGTTCTGAATATCAATGGAATGGCACTAGTTTAAACAATACATACTCTCTGTTTTTTAAAGATATTCGTTTTTTACAATCATGTTTGGCTTAATGTGTCACTTCCATTTGAAAGGGTGAAAAGAGGTTCCATTTTTTAATCTTAAATATTCTTCTTCACAGGGAGTCGGGGGCGGAGCCAGGATACTTCAGGGTAGGTTGAAATTTAATTTAATTTAATATATTTATTTATTTATTTATTTTTTCATCCCATAAAAATGCTCCTTGTTATACGAAATTTAGCTTAAAAGATTAAACTCGTTACACTTATGGCAAAGTGGGTCAAAATATGTTTTTGGACACTCATAAAGAAGTTCTAACAAATATGTTTTTAACAAATAAAGCAAATACATAGTATATTACTTATTTTAATAATAACATTCATTCATGGTCGAAATAAATAAATTTTTAACTCATAAGTATAAATAAGTAATATATGAAAAAATGCATTAGAAAAAATTTAATTACTTTTAAGCTTAGTGAAAGATGTGGCATCTGTTAAAATAAGTCATTATCTTTACTTTAATCAATAAAAATTATTAGTTATATAATAAATCAATTTGATTATAAGTGAACTCTTTAAATTTGAATAATTGAACATTGGGTTTGGGTTGGGAATTAAGTTAGTTGGGCTAAAATAAATTTTTGGGCCGGTCTAAATCTTTTTTTCTTTTTGATTTGAGGAAATTATACAGATACAGGCATTTCAATTTCACTGTGCAAAAATCAGGTGTAAAGATTTTTTTTTTAATCACAATTCAAGTATTGTATTAATAATTAAATATTACACACCATACCTTGTTCCATAACCCTAAATCATTTTTCTTCTTTCTATTCATCTTTGTGCCATTTCTTCCCACATCGTCACCACCCTAAATTGACGACTGGCGACCATTGCGTGGTGACAGTCTCTCTCTCTCTCTCTCATTGTATTCTGCATCTAATTCTCCGTTAGTGCGATCTGGTGGCGATGGTGGTGGTGTGACGTGGTTATGACGTCTGTGATGTTGTTGATGGCGACAGGGATGGTGGTGGATCTGGTAGTGGCAATGGGGGTGGAGGTGGCAATGAGTTTGGGTTGTGGTGGAAATGGAGATGGAGGTTATCTGTTCTCGTTGGTGATTGTTTTGGATATTGGGTTGTTAATCGTGGTAGTAGTAGTGCAATAGTGGTAGCAGTGGAATGTTATAATGGTGGTTGTTGGGGTTTTTGTTGGCAATTGACTAAATTTGGTGGTGGCGATTTTGTTGGTGGTGGTGACGTGGTATTGGTGTTGGTGGCTATGGTGAGGAAGGTGGCGGTGGATCTAGTGGCGGTGATGGGGTGAAGGCGATGGCAATGGTGGTGGTACTGATGGTATGTGAAATAGTGTATGTAACCAACTATTTGGTTCTTTGTGATTAATTATTAAACTGTGATATTAAAATTCGATAATTTGTGATCAATAAATTTGAAAATATGTGATCGATAGATAAACTGTGACATATAATTTTTTTTTTTAATTTGTGACCAATAAAATAAATCGGGACCTATAAAATGTTTAATCTGCGACCTCAAAATAATCTGTAACTTATAAATTTTAATCTGCAACCTCAAAATAATCTGTAACTTATAAAATTTTTAATTTGTGATCTAAAATAATCTGTAAAAAATTAATGTGATAATATGTAACCAGTAAATAAGTTGTGACTTCTAATTATGTACATGTGACAATTAATTATATAATTGTGATCTTATTATATTTAATTAATACATAATTTTAATTAATTAGCTAATAGCTGAATTTTGCGTTTTGAAACTTGAAATATGAAAATTGAATTGTGTCATAGTTGACACCTAACTTTTGAATTTTCCCTTTTCTTTTACCATGAATTTGGGCTGAATTTTCCATTTTTTTATAAGCTAATTTTCTTTTGGGTTGGAACAGCCCAGACCAGCCCCCCTATCCATCCGCCTATGCAGGGAGATCACTTGCCAAATGGCTAAAAGATGTTATTATTATCATAGCGGTATTTGCTGCAGCTCTACTGGTTTGTTGCTTTAGCTATAACTTATATAGAAGAAAAAGGATGACTAAAAGTGGAGGTAAGTTGGAAGTGGAAGTACTTATAGAGAACCTCTTTCTACTATTTACTTCTAGTTTGCAATATATGTTCAACTAATCAACATTAATACGTGAATGACTCTAGGAAGTGGCGAAAACAGCAGAGAGAATCCAGTACTTTGGCCGTATGAGAGTAGTGACAGACAAGTATCAGATCTGATGGATGAAGAAAACAAGAGTGGTGTTGGCGTTCCTTTCTGTAGTTGGGAAAGTATATTAGCCGCTACTGAGAACTTCTCAGACGTACATAAACTTGGAAGAGGGGGATTTGGACCTGTTTACAAGGTTTTGCAAGGAGTTGTCCATAATTTTTTTTCCTATAACCAAGGCTGTGCTTCCTTGCGTAAAAAATTCTACTTCACATCTCCTGCAGGGAATGTTTCCTGGAGGACAAGAAATTGCTGTGAAAAGGTTATCAACCTATTCTCTCCAAGGAATAAATGAATTCCGCAACGAAGTTATATTGATCGCGAAGCTTCAACATCGAAACCTTGTACGCCTTTTGGGCTACTGCATAAAGGAGAATGAGAAGATCTTACTCTATGAATATATGCCCAATAAAAGTTTAGATGCCTTTATATTTGGTTAGTTCTTGAAAATTATTGTTATAGTTAATGCAATTGTCATTTCATCCCATTGTGACTTTTTTCCCCTTTTTAAACAAATATTACTAGATAAAAAACTCTGCATGCTGCTATACTGGAAGAAGCGGTTTGACATCATCTTGGGGATAGCAAGAGGGGTTCTTTATCTTCACCAAGATTCAAGGTTGAGGATCATTCATAGAGATTTGAAAACGAGTAACATTCTGTTAGATGAAGAGATGAATCCAAAGATATCAGACTTTGGCTTGGCAAGAATAGTTGAGGGTAAAGGAACTGAAGCAAGCACCAACAAAGTCATGGGTACCTAGTAAGTGTCAATTCAAAATGATAATTCCATAATTGAAGCTGCGTTTCGATTAACTGCATCAAAATGTCATGACCCGTTGATAAAATATGCAGATTGTCACTACATTACCCCAGAAACCATTTACTATTCCTGAGTGCTTTTATTCTTTCCTTATATAGTGCCTTATAAAATTTCTGTCCTCTAAGAATTTCCAAACCATTCCTTATATTGTGCCTTACAAAATGTAGCCATGGTCATCAAACATTTTTAAAGAAGTTAAATATTCTCTTTAGCTTCGGTATATGTCTCATCTCCTCGAGAGTTCTAGTTGTCCCATTATGCATTTTAATGTTTATATCTCCCTACGACTAATGCACAGGATTGGTTCATTCCCGATTAGTACCTTTCCACCATCTATTTATTGGTAAGATGTAAACTAATCTCTTATCGGATACGTGGATTATACGGCCTAAGTCAAGTACTCGTTATTGGCTCTTTTCTTCTTCTAAGACTGCAAGGACTTCACCGTCTTCAAATCTCCCAATGGCTTCAGATGCATCTCCACTAATTTCCTCTGTCATCTTATTGATCCTTTCATGGGAGTATGATTTTAGGTGACCCTCTTTCTCACGAAAAAGGCAGTTCGTTAGACCAAATATTAGTATGGTTCTCCTTGTAGCCAATTTCAACTTTGCATGTCTAGTTGGCTAAATATGGTTATCAAGGTCACTAGTCTTCTTTTCTTCTTTCCCATCCAAAGCTGTGTACATACATTGGCTCCTCTTTACCAAGAGGAATTAAGCTATGCTTACAGATATAGACACCTAATAAAATGTAAAAGTGTGTGTGTTGATACTTAATATATTTCATGTTAACAACTAGTTTTTTTGATCCAGTGGTTATATGTCTCCGGAGTATGCATTAGATGGATTATTCTCGATAAAATCAGACGTATTTAGTTTTGGAGTTGTTGTACTTGAGATAATCAGTGGAAAAAGAAACACGGGATTTTATGGGTCTACAGAAGCTCTGAATCTCTTAGGTTACGTAAGTGGCTAAATCCCACCATGTATATCCAATGTTTCGGCATATATAAATGTTAGAAATCTCCTCGTCTCATATACATCGAAACTAATTCATGCAGGCATGGGGACTGTGGAGTGAAAACAGGGCATTGGATTTAATGGATCCAATATTGCTTGAATCTTGTGAAAAATCTGAAGTTATGAAGTGCATAAATGTTGGGCTGTTGTGTGTGCAAGAAGACCCCGGTGATCGGCCCACCATGTCGAATGTAGTTTTCATGCTTGATGGCGAAGCAACAGCTCTTCCAGTTCCTAATCAACCAGCTTTCGTAACGAGAAAACCCGTTTTAAGCACTTCTTCATCCTCTACTAAACCATGTTCAATTTCCAACGAGTTAACAATGTCTATTGCAGAAGGGCGATGAGGAATTTGCTTATTCCCTACCACTAATGTTATCATTTTTCTGTTCTGCCAGAATCTGTATCTAAGTTGCTTTAGTAGCACTAGTGTAATTGTTTTCACATATAATCTATGTAAATGCTTGACCTTCCATACCACAGAGAAACTAGACTCTGTCAAGTAAAGATAATTGTGAAGTTCGTCTAAATTTAAGTGTGATAGTTACGCTTGACCTCAATGTATTGGGATACTCGTAATTGATTAATGCATTTCACTTTGAAGTACGAGGAAAAATGTTACCAGACCGTCAATTGATCAATAGAGCGATCAACTAATATCTTGATAAGTAAAATTTATGTCTTTTAGTGTTATTTATGTATTGAGTTACGTGATATTATGAATTGCACTAATGAATTCATATACTTGGTATGTATACACGAGAGGACTAATCTCCCAAGCATCAAGTGACGTGACACACTAACTATCAACAAATGTAATCAATTTTGGAGGGAGAATGTAATAACTGTTGGTACATGCACTATATTAAACTGTTGGTAACTGCACTACATTAAACATATGTTGTTGGAGCTTGATCGCAATCTTAGTCGTTATATAAGTAAATTAATTTTTTATATATAATGTAGCATAATTTACGATTACAAACAGATGAGCATGTGAAACCGTAACTGGAAGGGGTAAATAGAAATAAGAAGAGAGATCACATTGTCTTAAAAGATAATCACTATCATACCGATGAATACTGGAGAAGTTACATTTATTTTACGACTTTAGGCTGAAGAAAGATTAATGGACTTCCCACAAAGTTGTTCCAACTCAGTTTCCAAAACTTTGATCAAGTTCCCTTTAGTTCGCCTATAAATCCAAGCTTGGGCATTTTTATCCCAATCGAACCTAGATGGGCCACTGCAAAAGAGATTTTAATCTTCAGGATCAGCCACAGAGGAAAATGAAGGCATGGACATCTAATCAAATAACACAATTTTCCAAGAAAAAATGTGCAGAAAGCTCGTCAATAAAGAAATCCTTGAGGGGAAATGACAGTGGTGGGAGTAGAAGTCCCCTCTAATACAAAGTAAAAGAAATTAATATATATTGGCATCGCATATATCAACTCTAGTATAAAAAGGGTAAATTATTTTAAGTCGCCTTGTTTTAGCTGGCGAGATGGATAACCATCATCTCCAGTTTTTTTGGTCAAAGATGGACAAAATATATATTTCACCCTTGTTAAAAAAATAAATAAATAAATAAATCAGTAAAAATAGCAGGTGAACTCACCCAACTTGAATAGATGGGCAAATTTGGGAGTTGGGTTCTCTACTCATCCAACTTTCAAGTGGGCAAGTAGAGTAAAAATTCAAAGGCGTAGTTCCAATTTTAGAAAAAATTCATCCATACCGAAATCCTTCCACTTCCGATCAACCTCCTTAAGGACCTTAACTAATGCAACAACTCTCCTTCACTAATGCAACAAGGACGACCACTCCTTTTAAATTCAAACTATACTTGATTAATGCAATAACTCTTAAATTACAAGGTTATTTGCAAAAATTTCACTCAGTTCTTTCAAACACCTCAAATACCAGAGAGGAAAATAAGTAGTGTGAACAATACATGCACATTCTGTTAAAACGCTTGTTACATTTGATTTACAATTGTTCTAAAAATGATAACAATAAATATGTTAAAACACTATTTGTTTTAATATGGAGCAACTACTTGTGTGCTAGGGGTGTCAAGAAGTTGAGCCGAAAATCGAGGCTCGGGCTTGGCTTGAGCTTTTTTTTTGGCCCAAGCCGAGCGAGCAAAATCTTGGCCAAAAAATCGAGGCTCGACCTGAGCTTTCGGTTGGGCCTTGCCGAGCCAAGTAGAGCCAAGCCGGCACGATTTTTTTTCTCCATGGCAAGCTGCCTTTTAAAGGAGCAGCCACGTTGCCTTTATAATTTTTTTTTTTAAAAATTTTTTTTAGAGCTGGCCCGACACCCCTTCACCGAGGCTCGAGCTTTTTATGGGGCGGGCCAGCCATTTTGCCATCACTATTATGTGCCTTTGTTCCCCGGCAATCGCTTGAAGTTCTCCTCATTGGACCACAACAAAACCATCATCTACCCATAACAGTATCTTTTTCCTAGTAAATAAATATTTTCTTTCTGGCAGATGGTTAGCAGGTTGACAGATCAATTTGTTGAATTAACTGGGAAAGACTTTTTCAATATTTTCTTTATGAATTATCTACCTAAATGGAGCAGTGCCAATTGATTAAAGCAACTATGTAGAATACTAGCAATCGATGAGCACAGGTGAACCTTTTGTAATCCTATAAGTTCCTTAATTCGGAGTTGATAAAGATTTGAAATTTTGGTAATTATTACATGTGTTGCGTGTTTGTTGCCTTGGCTTGAGTGCAAACCTTTTGTAATCCTACATATTGACTAAATGGGATTTCTTAAAGCATCGCATGGTAATTTATGGCTAAACTTGACAATTTGACACTTAGTATCAAAGACAGGTTACATTATGGCTAAGAAAACCCAAATCGATTAAATAACTTGTTGGCAGCACTTCATAAGCCAATGATGCTGTCAACTCATTGGAGTGAGTTCAACAAAAGTACTGGCTGAAGTGCAAAACATAAACAATGTTCTTCATAGTATGTAATGTCTTCTCTATCGCACATAGCCCAGATAGTTATCTTGTTTTTCTAACATCCTTTAGTTTGCAATAACCTGGCACTGCCAGTTGGGGTTTCACTTCATAGATAAGGTCTATAAAAGCAAGATTTCAAAAGATATAGAAATTAAAACTTGAATTTTCTTTTCTTTTAAGTAACATTAAAAGAAGAACCAAATCCATAATCCCGCAATTCTTCTACATAGAAGCAAATAATATGACTCAAAGCAAACTTCTATTCTAAAATCCCAAGCCAAACATCAACAAAACAAATTGAAAGAGACAGGTCAAAATTCAAAGGATATACTGATTTGAGTTAGAGGGATCAGTACCTCAGGGGAGATGACATCCAAATCTGTCTATTTGGCGTTTGCTTGTTTATTACATAGGTTCCCAAATTCCCGAGCTTCAGAGTTAATACCTCATTCTACAAAATGAAACACAGCGATACAGCAGCACAGACACAAAATATTGACAAAACTAACCACTTTCAAACATCAAACCATCATTCTTACCCCATAGTCTACATCGAAACCATCAATCTCCACGGAGTCGCCATATTCCTGTCATGCAACAAAGAAAAGCAGACTATCAATGGTAAGAGCACATATCTTATTTTATGCAACTAATTTACATTCCTAAAAATGAGATTAACAAAGTAAATCCTCCTAGTTAAGCATAGCCACGTAAACCATTAGCAGGTCCTCTTCATTGAAAATTAGATCCAGAGTAGACCTGTCACCGCTTCTCAACAAGTTAAAGTAAATAAGTGAAAGACGTAGATTTCGAAAACCAGTGACAGGGATTCTAAGGAGAAAGAGACCTAATTGAGGACTTAACATGGTTACATATTTACTCTAGGAAAAATAGGAGCAGTTCAAATTTAGACAAGATTAGATAGACTTTGATATTGTAAGCTTGTCATATATTAAAAGTTCCCTTGAATTCAAGTTATTCACGACTATAAAAGGGGAATTTGGACATGAACTTAAAGAGATTAGTGATTATTGAATATTGAATACTAAAAATTCCCGTTCAATTCTTTTCTCTTCTTTTCTATTTCCTTCTATGTTTTACTTTCTGTATCAAATTCTGGATAACACGGTCACGTTCACATCTGGGAAGATATAGAGACCAACAAAGCCAAAGTTGTAAAATTGACACTTATAAACCCTCTTGACACACATACTACAACCCTCAAAAAATTCAAAACAAATAAAAATTTTGTCATACATAACTGGAGGCTTGTTTTCGTTCATTGTAGCTTAGGTCAAACATATGTAAATACAAATCACGATACAATTCTAGGTTAATGAGCCAACCAGACAATCTTGGGATTCAGGCTAAGTACTACTACAGTTCTATGCTGATTAAAAAAAATAATAATAAAAAACAGAAAGAATCTCCTAAAAATCCCAGAGCATATTAACGTCAAACCTAAAACAAATAGTTGAGTTTGAAATTCTTCATGGATAGTTACCTCTAGCTTCTCTAGAAGGTCATGGATCGTGGAATTAGCCAACATGTGATAATTCTCTTCCGGAAGCACAAAACTGTACATGTATCGATATATTAGCTAAAATTTATGGATAATCAATTTTCAAACCATCAAATTTCTCAATTTCCAAATTCATATAGAAAAAATCATAAACTAAAAAAAAGGGAAAAAAAAATGTGAAGGGAATATAATTACCGGTAATCAATGGTTGTAGGGGACTGAAATTCTTCAGTAACAGAAGAATAGCTGCATGACGTGAAGCTTACTCTTGGATTGGGAGAATAATTCCAGGGTTTTGTAAAATATTTATTCAAAAAGTAAAAAGAAGATCTTCTAGATTGTAATTGGAAAGTGAACGATGATTGATGTTTCACGGATCTGCATACTGTTCTTGTCAATTGAACAAGCTTCGCCATTGTTTGGGCATGAACCTAACTCAATGAAGAAAAATCCTAAAATTGGAAGCATCGATATGTTATCAATGTGACAGTGTGAGCGAATATTTGTAAAAGGGAGAAATTGAAGCGTTAGTCTAAAATTACTGAAATAGGGAGTTAATTGTTTAAAGAGTAACGAATTGATTATTGAAATTTAAAATATCAAATTTTGATTACAGAATTTAGGTTTATATCTTTGATTGCTTACTAAAGTTTAAAATATCGAGCTTTGGATCGCTGAACTTTGAAAAAATATTATACACTACTCACTGTAAACTCAATATTTTTTAAAATTAACATTTATATTAGTGAATAATGTATAATATTTTCCAAAGTTCAACGATTGAAACTCAACATTTTAAACTTAAGTGAGCAATCGAAGACATCGATCTAAGTTCAGTGACAAAAACTCAACATTTTAAATTTCAGTGACAAATCAAAGACATAGATCTAAGTTCAGTGACATTAGAACAATTAATTCTGAAATAGGTTGTGTAGATTAAAATTATATTAAATTTTTGTGTCAATTTTCATGATTAATTTTAATCATATATTTCGTGGCTTCTTAATTTTTTTAATTACATATTTCATCAATTTTTCCTAAAAATTTGATTTCAGTTTATATCGAACATGACATAGTAATATGTAGCAAAGAAATCTCATTCTATTTTTCTAGTAGTACATTTATCATGTTATTTTGACACTAAATACATGTTTATTTTCTAAAGAAATCATTTTTCTCGATTCTTTCTAACTTTTAAGCTAAATCAAACAAGTTAATTATATCCGATTTATATTCATAGCCAGAATGAGAGCTATTAAAGCTCGATTATTTTAACATAAAATTTTACATGCAAGTAATCCTATTATTATGTAACTTCTTAACAACTTTTCTGAAATCGATTTTATCAATTTTAAATTACTATTTTGAAGGGAAAAAAAAAAGAAGAAAAGAAAAAATTTATTTAATTATTTAAATTTTTATTCTTTTTTATTGATTTCGTACCTTAGCATCCTTCAAAGACGACAGCTCCACCTAAAAAATAGGTCATAATAGAATCTGGAAATTGCAGGGCCGCTTAAAATACATTGTTTTCCGTGGACGCAAATCTTTCTCTCTCACACAAAAAATGTTCTCCTTTTGGTTTTGGTCTTTGGACCTTTGTTCATCTCAAAAAATCAGAATAGAATAAATTCGTAAGTTTTTGCCTTTTTCCTTGATTGGAAATTGTTATTTAGTTTGCGTAATCTGGGTTCGATTTTTCGTATTCCTGAATGTAGTACTGGAATATGTTCGCTGAAATCAGCAAAATTTATTTGTCCATAAATTTCAGTAATTTGTCTTAGGGTTACCATTCAAGCACAACTATTTGCTTATAATAGTTAAAAAAACAGAGAGAATTTTGTATTGTAGGGTTGATTTTCATCGTCCGAAGAACCCAAAGCCAACAATCTGGCTAGGAAGAGGTTAGATCTCTATTCATGGCCGCAGTTTCAGTTTAGTTACGTTTTTTATTTTTATTTTTATTTTTATTTTTGACGTCTTCTTATTAGATTGTTCACATACGAGTTTTGAGGCTTTAATCATTTTACTCGAAGAAAAGAAACTCTAATAATATCTGAAATCATTTGTAAACTAGTAGTGTTCAACCATGTATATGCATATTAAATTTTTAATACAATAGAGTTTTCAGAAGCTGTTCAAATGATTGATTCCTTGTATGATTTTTGTTTGGTTAGTTCTTTGTTTAAAAATTCATGCTTTATTATTAATCTTTTATAGAGCTTATTAGAGTCTTGATGTATGTATGAATGATTTATAAAAAGTTTTTTAAAAAAATTATTTATTGGCCCCTGGGCTTCATATCTGTGTTTGATACGAATAGAATCTGCTGCTTGTATTTGGATCTTGCCAATATTGTTTTAGTTGTAGAATATTTCAATTTCTTTTACCATTTGGGTTAGCCTATCAAAATCTGCCTTTTGATGCCTGAATGCTTAAAGAAAGAAATATTGGAATAGAAATATAGTTAATATACCAATAGCAGCTATTTGGGAAATTTGAATCTCAGAAATAGCAACTGGGTATTTTAGTTATCTTCCGTAATAGAATTTTTATACCTTAAAAGGTTGTATACATGGTCACAGGAACTGAAGTGACCCCATGTTTTGTGGACGACCAATAGATAAACAAATTTGTGATGATATAACTAACAGCTAAGATATTTTTCCAGTATCGTATTTGATGGTAAAAATGCACAATTTAAATTTGGATGAAGAGAATAGTCTGCTGAAATAATAGAAATCCTTTTTCTCAATCCACTGATCTGGTTTTCTTGCTTTCTGATCCCTATAGGCAATGCAGCTGTCTCTTTTATGCATATAATCAGGCTTGGGCTCATATCATCAAAAAAGATTTTCTTTCAGTCTGGCCGCTTCTGCAAGGTCTAAGTTTTCTCGCACCTCTAAGCAGGTGTGGGGTGATAACTGGGGAGTGATATTATTATGTGTTTTGAGGAGATCAAGATCATCACACATTTGGAGATTGTGCCGTGTGTCAGAGGGGTTATCCCTTGACTATGGCTAAGGTCAGCCTTGGTTAAGTCTCAGGAAGCGTGGTGACAGCATATGATTTTATTTTTTGTAGTTGCTGAGTCTATCTTAATTATATAATTCAATTCCAATAGCCTTTGATATTACAGTTAGTAGATCTGATGTGAGTCCTTATCAGTTTTTGTAAGGATGGTAAGGTTTTCATGCTTTCTTGCGCACGTCCACTCTCACAAGCAGAAGGTCAGTGGATCATGTTTCCATATGGTCTGTCCTTCAAATTTAATTGCTTTTTTTTTAACCATTCTGTTGATGTTGTTAATTTGGTCCATGTCTATCCTAATCAGAAAGCAGTTCATCTATCTTCTGAAGCCATGCAGAAGACAGTGGAAGACACTTTTCAAAATCAGTCATCAACAAGTTCATCATATCCAGCAATGAAAAATACATCATATTTGAAGGAAGAGACGGAGACACTCATTAATACTACTGATCACACAACAGATTCCTCTCCTACTGAGCGCGACTGCCGATCAGATGAAATAGAGAGCAAATCTAATACTGATTGTGATATTACAGTTCAGAAGACTTCCCAAATTAAAAAGAGCCGGTCTTTAGGAAGTGGCTTAAACTGGAAAGGGAGAATTTCTGGTGCCGATGACTCGGAGGATGAGACTGAGCAAAGATTTTCCTGCGATGGATCTGCTGATTGCACTGGATTTATTGTTCAAGATGGTGTCAAAGATCGTGGAATCAATTTGCTCAATCAATATCAAGATCCTATGCCCTCTGATTCTGTTCAAGTGAATTCAGACTCGGCAAAAAATGAATCAATTTTTTCAGTTGGGGATCCACAACTGTCAGAAAAAGAAGGCCCTGATAATGATGATATCCAGCTATCTGGTGCTGGTGAGTCTGGTCCCCACACACCACGGACCCTACCTGCTATTGTAAAGTCGAATTCTTTGCCGAACATGAGTTCTCCTAATCAATGCTTGAGATCCTTTTTTGTTCGCTCTAGATCAGCTGAGGATCTGAACGTTGTAGATTCAAGGAAGAAAGGCATTCTGATGCATGAAGTGGGACCGCAGGTGACACAAAACCAAGAAAGAGACGATTGTGTATCAAACAATGACAGGAACAGTGGTGAAAATCCTGCTGAGATTTACAGTTATAACTATGTAGGTTCAGCAAAAGACTGGATAATACCTGTGGTTGATGGGTTCAATGTGGAGAAAACTGTTAAAGGAGAATCTTCATCTTGCCAGGGGGTGGAATTACCAAACAAGGATTATAAAGCAAAACGAATTGAAGAATGGTTCATGGATCTTCAGTACAGCAGCCCTTTGGAAGAGACAAATGAATTTTCTATATCAAATGATCCTGAGTTAAAGGATTGCGACACTGTCTTGGAGGGTCCAGCTGCTGCAAAGTTGGATGTCAAGGCCAACCCTGGAATGGAAGCTGCAAAGAGATACATCTCTTCTATGAATGCCAAATCCACAACAGCTCAGCTGACTAATCTTGGGTTGGTTGTGATACCGTTTCTCAGTGCTTTTGTTAGCCTTAAAGCACTTAATTTATCTGGAAATAGCATAGGTTTGCATCTATATCGTTTGCTCTTCCCTCCTTAAAATTCTGTTTTTTTACCTTGTTGTGCTAATGTTTCGGAGATAATTTGTGTTTTCAACTACTTTTCTCCCCTCTCTGTTAATTCCCAGTGAGGATTACTGCTGGTGCGCTCCCTCGGGGACTCCACATTTTGAACCTTTCAAAAAACAATATTTCCACCATTGAAGGACTGCGAGATCTTTCAAGACTTCGTGTGCTTGACTTAAGCTATAATCGGTTATTAAAGATTGGACATGGTATGACCTTTTTCCATAACAAAATACAAAATGTCTTGATCATTGTTCGCAAAATTTGTGCACTCGACAGAATTAGGTTATATTTGCTTTATTCTTGTTTGTCAAAATTGGTTGGTAGATTAAATTGAAAGATAACAGGAAAATTCTAGCTGGGATCTATGGAATATCACGTTAATAAATATTAAGGATTGGACATGATAAGTTCTTTTTCCATGATAAAACAAATGATCCTGATCATTGCTGAAAGTTGGTGCTCATGACTGAATTATGATATATTTCTTTAATCGTGTTTGTCAAAGTTTGTTGGTAGATAAAAAGATATATGAATTTGTAGCTGAATTTTAAAAATAGCACATCGATAAACTTTTTGAAGGATTAAAATGTGTATTGTCTAAATCTTATCAAGATGAGGAAAAGCTGCATACTTGATGTGACTGGTCTGTACTGAAAGTCGGATTAAATGTAATTTCGACATTGAAATGAGTCCAAGGTAGCGTACTTGAGATGGTCAATTAGGTTTAAGGATGAAGCTTAAAGTTTGTGAATACTAACTTGACAATTATGAACTGTGTTCGGGCCTGGGTTGGAGAGTTCAAGTACCTTTCAACTTGTACCATAATCTTGGAACCAGGAGTATTTGAGTTTATTTCTATAGCTGTTCCCTGTTTCACTGTGTTTGGGAAACAATTGATGAGATTGCATTATTACAGTCTCCACGTGTCAATGTTATATTTGAAATAAAGATCTCTCTCTCTCCCCGTGTGTGTGTGTGTGTTGGCTCTAGAATGAGGTACTGCATTATCATTGATACTTTAGACCCCATATTTGGACTATTAGTTGCAACAATAAAAACCATGGATTGACACCAGTCTTACGTTTATTGGATGTTTTTGTTTTGTAAACCTTTGAATCTGTCAACATTTCTATTATATTTCTTTCAATTACGTATTTCAATTTACAATAACAAAAATTGGTGTGCTCTTTTCTCTTTGTGAAAGTGGTGAATTAGAGGAGAAAAATTATGTATTTATTTGGATGTCGTGGGCTCAACTGTGCTTGTCAAGTTTCTGATGTCTGCCCAATGCTGCTGCATCATTTGGTTAGACGAAAGTGCTCCTGATTTTGATAGATTACTAATATACTTGTCTCTTGCTTGGAAAGGCCTCGCTTCCTGTTCCTCCCTGAAGGAATTGTACTTAGCTGGTAACAAGATCAGCGAGGTTGAAGGGCTTCACCGCCTTCTGAAATTGAATGTATTGGACTTGCGTTACAACAAAATTTCTACAACCAAATGTCTTGGTCAACTTGCCGCTAATTACAATTCTTTACAAGCTATAAGCCTGGAAGGAAATCCGGCCCAGAAGAATGTAGGTGACGAACAGTTAAAGAAATACTTACAAAGTCTTCTTCCGCATCTCACTTACTACAACAGGCAATCTATGAAAGTTGGCACACTGAAAGACACAGTTGATCGTTCTGCTCGACTGGGCTTCAGCGCACATCAAATTGACCGCGGGCTCCGAGCTGAAGTGAAGGCGACCCGGAAGGGAACCCATGGCATTGCTTCTCACAAGGCATCGTCTTCATCAATTCATGGTCGTAAAAATCAAGTAATTGCCTTGCCAAAACAATCCAAAAGCAGGCATGGACGGCTTCCACCAATTGGAACAAAGACAACAACTCAACGACATGAATTGAATGATTTCTGCAAGCTTCTGAGCTCTAAAACTAGTTTCTCTATTGGCAGAAGCCGCAGTGAGGGATCTCTGGGAGCTCTTTGAGAACAAATTTGAGGATTTAATAAATCTTTGTGCTTTTAAGTATCTGAGAGTGGAATATTTGCTTTTAGTTATGACTTCTTTGTGATTTGGTTTCTTGACGTTTTTGTCCTTTTAATGCTGTAATTAGGATTCTGTATGAATCAAATTAGGAATATCATATTTTGCTTTTCCTTCAAATATTTACAGTTGATTGGAATAGAATACATAGGACCTTCGTCTGGGTTTTATGTCATAGCATATATGACTGGAGTGAGCAAAGACAATCGGTTGCTCTTTAGACATTTTATTTTCCTACTAAGAACTGTACAAGAAATTACGCTGAATTTGATCCAAATTTTGTGTTAATGTTTATCAACGTAAATGTAATCTTGTGCAAATAATTTCCGTTTTGACAAAATGGTTCAAACAAACTAGGGACGGATCCAGGATTGGATCCAAGACAGGGCTATAAAATTTCAAACCAGGCTACTACGCGTAAAAAAAAAAAAATGTACACATAAAAAACTGATTTTTTTTCCAAAAAAAATAAAAAATACCTTAAAAAAAAGTTATTGGGCCCGAGGAGGGGACCCTTTCCAACTACCGAACTCTAATTGTACATTTATCCACAATGGTTACATGAGATGTTGAATAGGATATTGAAGAATTGATAGTCTTGTCCATGCTTCCTCGGTGAAAATCCTGTAGACATATGTTATCTTGTTTTGCCAAGATTTGGTTTACGGTTGGCCAAATGGAACAAGATTGCACGCTGTCAGAATTCGATTCAAATTAAATTATTCTTATTTTGCTGTGAGAAAAAGAAACATGAAGAGGAAAACTTTCTGGTAAAAAGCGTGAACTACTTGTATTCTTGTTTCGAATATGCTAACTGAAATTTTTATAAGTTTGTAGCTACGAACTATTCGAGAAAGAAATTAGTTAACATACCACTTTTACTAGAATTTGAGGCGGATAGAGGTAGCACCGTCTAGTCCAGTCCATATCCATATCTCAATATATTATCTTTTCCTCTTTCTCGTAATTTTATTTCTGGGAACTTAACATAAATCTTAGTTTTAAAGATCTCATTTTATAAATAACAAACTTATTAAAATATTTCAAAAATCCGGTGGTAAATAAATTTATTAAATATTAAAATATAATATAATATATATTAATTATTTTCCATCCACGCTACCTCACCCACCCCATCCTGTCACCCTACTACACCACCTTCCTTCCACCTCTCCACCAGAGGATCATCGGCTTTGGTGGTCGCTCCGGCGGCCGTTTTGACGATCACTCCGACGATTTCAAAAATTAAAATCGTCTTCTCTCTCTACAAAAGCTCTCTCTCTCTCTACACATTTTCAGACACAAAACTTTACAGATGGTAGTGATGGTGGGTGGCGCTATGTTTAAAAAATAGATCTGTATGGTAGTAGAAATAATGTATTGGAGGTAATGAAGTTACATTGTAGTTAATCTGTTTGGTGGTGAGGTGTTGACAATGTTTTAAATACTATGTGATGGCAATAATGTTATATTGTAGTTGACAAGTATTGCGATTAATCATGTTATATGTAACAAAAATTATAGTTTGTAACCATACCTGTGTTATCTGTGACTAACTATGACCAGACCGTTTGTGACCAAGTTAGTGTCACTGACATGTGTTATCCGTGGCTAATTGTGACCAAATTTGTATTAACTGTGACTGTCTATGACCAATTCAATATTTACTGTGGCGGTATGTGATCAAGTCACAATCGATCACAGTTAATACAGAATTAGTCACAACTTCCACAATAAACACATACTTGACCTCAATGAGTCACCACAAACAAACACCACAAACAAATCTTTACACACTGCAGCCCAGTACCACAATCCACCCCCAGTCATTACCACGTTCACCTCCAACTTTACTACATTCACCAACCTTTGTTATCTATGACTAATTGTGTCCAATTTTGTCTTCAGTGTAACTATTTGTGACCATAACTATCTAATTTGTGACTATATGTAACCAAGTCACATATAGTCACAATTATTATAGATTTGATCACAGATAGTCACATTGAAGATAGACTTGGTCATACTCGATTTTCATCGTCACTACCACCACTTTGAACAACGTCAATCAAATGCGCACCACCATCACTTTCAACAAATCCTAACTAACACCAGTGGCATCACCGTACCACTGCCACTATGTGAAAGATCCAACAATAGATATGACACATACAACCTTAGATATATCACCACTAGCAAGGTGCTACCTATGCCACTGGGTTGATTGCGACTGTCTGCGACTCGCGAATTTGGGTTGATTGTGCAATGGCGCCCATTGATTCCGTCGGATTATGTACAGCAATCCCCAATTAATTCTATAGAATTAGGGTATTTAAAGAAAGAAAGAAGATCGATAGAGAGGAGATTGATACAGCAGCCCCCAATTGATTTTGCTTCCAATCGATCATTCTATTTGTCACGATTACCCAAATGATTGGTCACAATTGGTCAACATATCACCCCACTTCGACCCATCACCATTTTGCCAAAATCGATACCACCCCACCACCACCACCAGCAAATTTGTATTCATATGTCGTTGCCAACCCACCCCATCCCACGAGCACTAGCACTACACGTACCGAAGTCATGTCATCTTCGACTGGGTACCAACTTATTTTTCACTTAGTGACCATCTCGAATGCTAAATTAACACAAATAATTGATAGATCTGACTCCAACGAATCAATGATAACAAACCCATAAGACGTCAAGTGCAGTGGCTTGTCCATGGAAACTGGCAACACACCTCCACCACTCGTCCTAAAAAAAACCCCAATGCATATGTTACCCTCTCCTCTTCGGCTTTGCTCAGGAAAGACTCCAAATTACTTCCTTACTCCATCATTCGTAATAGAAGATATCAAAATATATATTCTCTGTTCGCCCTATGATAAACGGTGAAAAATAGATGAAAATAGCAAAAAAGTTGTATAAATGGAAATATCTAGGACGAATTTCAATGAGGTAACTGTAGATTTTAGATGAGAAATGAATGGATAAGTGTTTGGTCTATCGCGCAGCGGTTGTCGCTGTGTGCATCTGCTTTCTCTGATAGTTATGTTATGCCCTAAGGCCTAGGGGTTAGGTGGGACGGGTACAGTGGTAGTAGAGACCAGAGAGAGAGAGAAGGAAAAGTGATGGTAGAGAGAGATACAAAGAGTGGCCCGTGGAGAGAGAGTGTGTGGGGCTATGTCTGGAATTAATTGGGGTGGAGGTGGTGTGGGATTATTATGCAGATTAAAGTTTAACTAATTTTATTTACCACCTGAAATCTGAAGTTTAAACCTAACCCCTTTATTTAAGAAAACTAATATTTAATTATAGGGTTTTAGGCAATTTTCCCTTTCTTTTTCTTTCAATGGTTTTTGTTGTTTAACATCTCTTAGAGGTGTTCTAATTAATTTCGAAATGTTTAAAAATAAAATAAAATTATAAAGCCCAAAATCAATTTGATAGTTTATTTTTTTAGAAAAGCAATAAAATTTATTATCGCATCATCGTCTCGTAAACAAGCATTTAATAATGTATGTTGAGCATTGCTTATCAGATTGTCACTGATTTAATCATAGATAAAACTCTACGTACCTTATATTTCATTCATGTCAAAATTATGATAAAGTTATATAATTGTATTATAATGATAGGCAAATTTCCATTTTGTGTTGAGAACTTCTTGAAGACTTTTTATGATGCAACAAATGCGTACAGCAGTGTTTACTATCCTACTTCTTGCCCTATTTTACAATTTTTTTCTACATTGCTAAAATATATAGTGAATATAAGAGTTCGCCACATTTTGTTGATGTAATGTTTTCTATGGAGGTAGAATTTCGAAAATATTGGAAGACGTTGCCTACTTTATTTATTTTAGCCTCGATAAGAGATCCTCGATTTAATTTAGAAGGCACTAAAGTTATTAAAAATGAAATTTCACATAACTTGACTTTGGAAGTGCGACTTTTACATGTAAATATAGAAATTCTTCTAAGTGAAATGTATAATAGTCATGCTGAAAAGGAAAGCTAGTGCAATTCTACCCCCCCAAAGTCAAAAGAACAGTGCAATTCATTTAAATGATTTATGGGATTTTTTGAACTCGTATAAAAGTACTCCCTCAGCTAGTAGTAGTTAATCACCACCTAGAACAATTGGTGATGATAAAAATGTTGAAATACCCTCTGAGTTATCTAAGTATTTTCGTGCACATGTTCGTAGTATTTTAGGACCAAGAGAATTGATCTTCTATCGTGGTGGAGGTGTCATGATTTGCTAACACCTCTGGTGTTTACAGTAGCATTTGATGCTGTGTTTAGTTTAAATAATAGGATTTTTTCAGTCGAACAATCAAGGCTAAAAGCAAATATATTGGAGGCTCTACTATACTTGAAAGACTAATAATGTAGAAAATTACCTGTTTAAGATCAAGTTAATAGTATAATAGTCGAGAAGTTGCAACATATCCGAGCATAGGATCTTAATATTGCAAGTTTTAGTCTTGATTTAATTGCATAATTTTTTACTTCAATTTTGTTTTTTTTTAAATATTGTACACAAAATATATATATTTTTTACAATTTTAACTTCGCATACTTAAAGTGTAGTCGGTCCCAACTCCAAAAATTGAGAAGGGTTGTTGCTTCCTCTTTAAACCACTTGCATAATTAATTTTTTTAGTTTGTAAATTAATGACCAATTAATTTGTAACATTCAACAACTAAATAATTTTGTACATTTTAAATTAATTCTCTAGTTCGTAAATTAACAATCAATTTTCTGTATATTTGAGTAAAAAAAATAAAAAGCTCATCAACCGTCTCGACTCGACAAAGGTTTGAGCAATAGCCCAGGCCAAGCCCCCCCCCTCCCCCCCCTTCTTTTTTTGGGGGCGAGCTAAGCCCGAGCTTTGTTTGAACCCAAAAAGTTCTAGCCTTTTTTTTTTTTTTTTTTGATGTGTTGATACCAAGCCTTGAGTTTGAGCTAGCGAGTCAACTCGACTCGACTAATTGCCACCACTAATTAAACTGTAGAGTGGTGAATGATTAATTATTGTGTCTAAATTTTAACCATTGGGTAGAAATTTATAAAGAAAATCATAATATTTTTAGGGTAATTATATGCACACTATAATTTCTATTTTTTGCACTACATTTTATTTGCAATTAAATTT